GCACTTGGGCGCCTATAGAAGAAGCCGAGTGATGTTGGATCTATAATTTAGATAGTTTAAATATATATATATATATATATACTTTGATCTAATAAAGATACCAGCGAGGCTGCTAATATATAAAAAAAAAAAAAAAAAAAAAAAAAAAAAAATAATGTCAATGATAATAGTATTGAAAGAAAAAAATAAGCAAAGAAAAAGATCTTTTTCATCTGAAAAGAACTATAACCTGGATCAAGAAATGTTCAGAGCAAGGCAATTAGTTCTGATAGACAAAGAATATAAAAAAGGCTTTCAAGATATGATTGTATTCAATTAATATATTAATTAATTAATAATATTAATAATAGAAATATCAGATTGCATAATTTATTATTATAGAAAGAAGTATTCTGTGCAGCTAGACAATTAGCAAATGAGCATCTCAGCTAGTAGTTAGTGATCAAAATACTGGCATAATAAAAAGAATTTGTTGAGCTTTCTATTTTACCTGCTTTGAAAAGGCATATTAATAAAAGCCTTGAATATTTGAATGAAAAAGTCATTCATATGCTTCAAACAAATCATAAAAGTATATACTCAATAGCAAAAATTAAAGCAGACCTTGTATTAGATAAAGTAAATAAGAAATATAGTGAAAAAAATTTGTACATATATATAGCTATTGACTTATTATATATTTGTTATTTTTATATTTATTTATTTATTATTTATTTTATTATTTTATTTATTTATTTAAGAAAAAAGGTAGAAGAATTAAAGGTTTGCAACAAATAATCTGTATAAAAAATCCTATAATTGAGAAATATTAACCAAATGTTTTTAAAAAAAAAAATAGAAAGATTACTTTGCTGAAGTCATCATTATAACAGAATACCATTCTGATGAGTTAATCAAGACCAATGTTGAATTTGTAGTGAAAGAAAAAACTCATGTCTGAATAATCATATTATTAAAATAAATACTCCTATATAGAGGTCTAAAAGTGTAATTCTGAATTTTAATTTAAATTTCTATTGTAAAATAGCCATATCAGCTTATTTTACAATTATTCTAAAAACTATATAGTGCAAAAAAATTTTCTATCAGGCTGAAGAGGTGGCTTTAATGAACCAAGCCAATAAAATTATAAGAGAATAACATTATGATAAATACTAAAAAAAAAATAAAACTTACCTTTTGGTGCATCTTTTTGTATAATTGCTTTAGTTTATGATTATAATAGATATAGTAATCATCTTATGTCCAATATGTCTACTGAAACTAATAATTCAGAATCTAATAATAATAACAATAATAGTAATAATAATTCTGAACCTAGTGATCCTGAGCATACTGTTATCAGATCTAATAACAATTCTGAACTTAGGCATGCTAACAATACTAGATCTAATAATGATTTAGAATCTGATACAGACAATTATTAACTAACTAATTTTAGACATAAACTTAGAAATGAATCAGGATATGTAATTAAGAATGAATGGAAAATTTATTTATATATTTATTAACTTTCTATCCTAGATTCAATAATTCTGATACAAATAATTCTGAAACAAATAATCACAAACTAACTAATTTTAGACATTATTCTGAATACAGACCTGGAAATAAATCAAGGTATACAATTAAGTATGAGTAAAAATTTTATTTATATATTTATTAACTTTTTATTTTAGATTTGATAATTTTAATACAAATGATCCGGAAATAAATAATTATAAATCAACTAATTATAGGTGTAATTATAGGTGTAATTCTGAGTATAATTCTAGGTATAGATCTAATTCTGATACAAATGATCCAGAAACAAATAATCGTGAATTAACTTCTACAAATAACAACTTCAGTACTAATACTTCTGTTCGTAAGTATAACTGAATCAAACAAAAAAAAGAATAAATGTTCTAACCAGAAAATTTAGCTATAGCGAAGAGGAAACTAAGGATAATATTAAGGTATAGATTTTCTAAATATACTATTTTTTAGTTAATGTAATTTTTATGCATATTTATTACTTTGATAGTAAATAACAATAAAGAGACAATATTCAGAAACTTATTGGATCTCATAGTACAAAATGCTACAAACAAGAGAAAACTTGATATCGTTATTTACATCAATACAGATAAATTATATTTTGTTTATATTGTTATAGAACAGTTTTATTTTATTAGTTTATTATTTTATCTTAGTATTATTTTATTATTTCGATATTTGTATTTTATTAGTTATTATTATATTTATCTTAGAGAAGAATTTAAAAGACATGTATAACGATTAGCCTTAATGCTTAATGCTTAGCAATTTACGATTAGCGATTAGCGATTACGTTTAGCAATTAGTGATTACGCTTAGCGATTACACTTAGTGATTAGCGATTAGCAATTACGCTTAGCGATTAGCGATTAGCAATTACGCTTAGCGATTAGTGATTAATGATTAACGCTTAACGCTTAACAATTAGCGATTACAATTAGTGCTTAGCACTAAGTAAACTACACTTAGCTGCAATGATTAGCGATTAGCTTTAAAGATATAAAAAGGCTGTAAATTTTTCCAAGTACACATTAAATCTGTTTAGAAATATAACAAAAATTAGATGATTTTTTAGGGGGGAAGAAAAAGTAAAAAATTTAAAATTATATATAAAGACCTAATAAAAATATATAATAAAAAGGAAGAAGAGGAGTAAGCTTCTAATAAAAAAAATTAGATAATAAATGATACTGCACTTATCATCTAACTTAGATATAGACTTCCTTTTTTTTCTAAATTCTTTCTTGTAATATTATAGAATTCTTTAAGAATAGAAACCTAAGGATAGCCTATTTTATTTATCTTTAATAAACATATATTTTATCTATAAATTATTGTCTGCCCAAACTGCTACAGACAGAAAAGCATAGTTTCTAAAAAAAGTAAAAATTATATTTATTTGTTAGACACTGCTATAAATCTGTAAAGAATCCTTATAACCATGTCATTATTATAATACTGCTGTTAAAAAGGTTATGATACTGTAACAGAACTAACAAATCAAAAGTTATTTACTATAAAATCTATTTTTAATACAATTTTAAAATTTTTATTAAAATTATACAAAATTTGAACGATCTTGAGATTTTGTAATTTGATTTTGATAATTTTGACCTCATTAAAATCTTCTCATTGAGATGAACATTTTGATAGTTAAACCATCAAAAATGATCTCATAAATCAAAAGTTATTGGCTAATTTCACAAATCAGTTCATATATATCTTTTAAACACCACTATAAACCTATAAAGGATCCCTATAGCCATATTATTGTTATAGTGCTACTATTAAAAAAACTACAGTACTGTAATATTATAAAGAACCAATTTTCTGAAAAAAACCAATTTAAAAGTAACCAAAACTTGATGGTGAAACATAGGATAAATGTGGATAAGTGACTAGAAATAGTTTGAACACCAAATTCAGATATAATCTAATACATGATATAAATATAGTATACTTTGATAGGTTTAAACCATAGATAAATTTGTCTAAGCTTGTAGATATGTAGCTATATAAAGCAATTACTATACTATATATCTAATAAAGATATGAAGCATAACCTCATCTTAATATCAAAAAAAAATAAATAAAATTGTATATATAAGTGTTATATTTAAATTTTTGGGTTTTTTTTGTGACACTTATATACAGTATATATATATATGAGTGTTGCCAAAAGAAAACCTGCAGATCTAAAAATAGATTACTTATAAATTTAATAAGTGATCTATTTTTAAATATGCATGTTTTCTTTGGGTTTGGAATTGGCTAGGCCCAAGCTTAAAATTTCAAACTTGTAATTAATTCGACCGGGTATGTGCCAGGCCAAAAATATTATGCCGGGTTTGAACCAGGCTTAAAAAATAGTGGACCGGGTTTGGCCGGGCTTAATCGTGAGCCGGGTCTTGGCTGGCCCAGGCTTTATAAATAGTCAATAAACATGGGCCGTGCATGGTCCAGCGGCCTCTTTTTTATTGGGTTAGATCGGTCGGTTTTAGAGTTAAGCCCGGCCCGTCCCATACTTTAAATTTTTTATTGGGCTAGATCTGAGCCGGGCTTATAATTTAATGGGCCGGGCTCGGGTCTATCCCAACCCGGCCCAACTCCGAATCCTAGACAAATATACTATATCTAAAACTCTTAAAGATACCAGTAATTCTATATGCACTCAATAAAAATAAACCAAAGAGGCTAGCTTGAACTATTAAAAAAAAAAAAAACTTTAATTAAAATATATATATTACAAAACAAAACCTTACTTTAAAAAAATATAAATATATATATATTTATTTATAAATTCAAAACAAATTTGTTTACATTTAAAAATATTAATATTATATATACTGTATATGTATATTATTTTAATATATATATATAGTATATATATTACTACAGTATTTTATTTATTTTTTTTTACAATTAGCAGTGAATAAAATATATTTTTTTAAAAAAGAATTAAATTTTTATACTAATAAATAGTCCTAATATATTATATAAAGTTATTACACTACAAATTTCTATATAACTTTAAAATTTGTTAAAGTTTAAATAACTTTTATTAATGAATATTTTTCTTTATTTTCGAAGTCATGATTTAATTGGCTGATCAACATGTGGCATTATGTAACTTAACGTAACAAAAATGTCTAGAGTTATCTGATCAGCATTTCTATACCATAATAATAATAGGTGCGATACCCTGATTGAAATAACATCCTATCTCTTGATACTTTTCGCCCAAGCTTCAACATCTACATTGGCCTCAGCAGAAGCCTTAACATATGGATGTTTCTATATATATTTTTTTAAAAACAATAAGCGGTTAGTAGATTCACTTTTTTTTTTTTTTAAAAAAAAAAAGAATTTTCCTCACCAATAGATCGTTTGGTGCTGGCCGAATTTGTACATCTTTCAACAAACTATTAAAGAATACAAAAGGTTAAAATGAATATAATGTTTTAAATATGAACATATATATCTACATACCATTTATTAATGAAATCAGAAAAGTCCTCAGGGAATTGACCTTGCGGTAGTTTGGGTGCTGGTTCATGTACAATGTGTTGTAAAAGCTCCAAAACGGTAAGCTGACTACCATCTGGAGGAAATGGAAACCGACCCATCGCCAACTCCATCAAAGTAATACCGACTGACCAAACATCCGATCGTACGCTGTATGTGGCTCCTGTGATACGTTCAGGCTATGTATTCAGTTAAGAATGGGATTAATAACGTAAACTTTTTTATTTTTATTTATTTTTAATAGGATTTAATGCAATTGGATTTGTTAAAATTTGGTGTGATTGAAAAATTCCGACATCAATGTCGCTTCTAATATCAACTTACAGACATGTAATTTGACGTTCCCACAAAAGTATCTGCGATTGAATTAATAAGTTGACCAGACACTCCAAAATCACATATTTTGATTTGTCCTTTTGAATTGACAAGAATATTTGATGGTTTCACGTCTAAAATCATAATGAAAGAATGATTTGTAAATCTGATGTAATGAACATTTTTGATTGCTGCCTTTTAAAACCTCAATTACCTCTGTGAATAATTCGATGACTCTCATAAAGATAGTTAAGACCTTCTAAAACCTTTTGATAAAAAACGATTTGAGTTTTATAGAATGTAAAGTTTGAAAAGGAAGAGCTTTCATTTTAATAAATTTACCGCTATTGTAATCTTGCCAATTATATCCAGAGGAATGGGCCCATTTTTTTTATAAATATTATCAAGTGAACTATGATAAAATGTATAACAAATTTTAACTTGCTAAATAAATCTTCAGAGCAGGTATTCAAATACACATGTAACTTTACCCAACATCCATGAATTCCATACACATCGAAATACCCGCATCACTCGTGAATGCTCCATAAAATGAAACGATGTATCTCGAATTACAATCATGAAGAACCTGGAGTTCTCGATGAATTTGTTTTCGAACGGTCGGATTAACATCAATGTGAATAATCTAATATCGTGAAAATTTTAAATTAGTATTTTTCTAATTAGAATCGTTTGATCTCGCTATGTTATATGAACTCTGAATCATTATACCTTCTTAGCCATCACAGTCTTAGTGGTAACGTGCATGACCTGCGTTACCGTGCCTCCATTGCCTGCACCAACTTCTTTCACTGGCAACAAATCTTCTGCTTTTAAATCCAGTCTGAATTCTAACCCGATTTCTAGATCGTTCAAGCTCTGAGTAAGTCCATCTTCTTGTGATCCCTTTAGCGATTGCTGAGAAACAAGAGGAGAACTAGTACTATTAAGGCTTAATTTTACATTTCTTTTTTTTTTTAAAGATCTACTTCCACTCTGTTCGATCATTACGTAAATTTTAAGGTTTTGTCTGGGATATTGGAAAGCGGGAGTTTTAATGAAGTGGAAAATAAAACAATACTATAGTACGAATGTATAAATGACAAACGAGTAAGAAAAAAACAAAGAGAAAGTGGGCCTTAAAGGAAGAAGATTGCGAGTAAATGACCCTCCTCTTTGTGGACTTCTTGCAACGATATATATTGATAAAATTAATCAAAAGAATGGTTAGTTTAACCTAAAGTTTAGTTTATTTGTCTTTGATGCGATTAATTATCCAATCAAAATTTGAATATTTACCATAATACATGTTAACGTACGTACGTACGTACGTACCTGGTATTAAAGCATGTATAAAGCTCATCGTTGCAGTAGGTGTTCGATTGGCTCAACGAACGTTGCATGAACATTCTCTTGACAATTGCTTGTCATGATGCAACTATTTCACATATTCGACTGACGTATGACATCTCCGCGTAAAACATTTGGTCTAGTTTTTTCTAAATCTTTGTAATGTTTTATCATTGTTCGTTACAACATTCTGTAATATCTGTAATATAGAAAACAAAGACCCGAGCATCAGAACATCAATGAATCTATTGGTTCTTTATCATAACGTTGCATTGCAAAGAACTTCTCAAATCTGTAAATTTTTAGTTATAATTACATTTTATTTTTAGGTAACCTCCTCTAATAGAAATTTTAATATATAATATAAAAATGTTATTTATTGTCGCAGATATGAAACAGGAGACTTCTCTTGCTCACCTTTATATACTCTTTTATTAATAACCTTAACCCTAAACCTAACCATAATGCTAAAAAAATCCCAAAAATGTCTTCTAAAAAATTTTAATCTGATTTCATTTTAATCTGTCACATAATACAGTATTTATATATACTAATTTAAAAAAAAACTTTTCTAACAATTACTTAAACCAATTAGTCAATCTATAGAAAATATATATAATATACAGTATATAGTAAAACACATACAGTATTGAATAGTATTGTAAAAAATTATTTGATGTTTTAGAGTTAACTTTTTTTTTACTAAGGCTACTCCAAATTGATTTTCTGTTTAACATAAAATAATATAGCTCATAAGAGTAGGGGGGAGGGGCATAAAAAAATATAAAAATATAAAAAACTAATACTGCAATTTGATTGGTTAAAATAATGTTTTTTTTATATATGATTTTTTAAAAAATTAAGAGGAGGTTACATTAAACAGAAAATTAAATTGGCCTGGCCTAATTTGGTGATATTAGCAAGACTAAGCTAATTAAGAATTACAAGTAATTCTAACTATTAGCAATACAAATCTAGCTCATCTAGTACTTAACATTTAGATAATTTGCTTTAGTAGCTTTTGGCTTCTTTTTTAGATCTTTTATTTAAATTTTTTAGTTACTAGCAGCTATATCCTATTTTAAAATTAAAGTAAATTTAAATAAAATATATATTTAAAAAAAAAGAAAAAGTTTTTATTAAAAAAATAATTATTACACATTTTAATAAAACTCTTTTTTGAACTACAGAAAAACACTAGAAATGTCTAAAACAGATATTTTCTTAGTTTTACTTTGTAAAATAAACAGTTGTTGATGAAGCTTGAAAATATAAAACACTATGAAGCAGATACAACTTAGTCAGTTTTTTTGGAGGTTAAGTTTTTTTGCTAAATAGATTCTCTAAGATATTTAGTATTTAAACTAGAAGGTTTATTCTAAAAATTATTTTTATTACCAAATAGGTTGTTGTTGACAAAGTTTGAAAGATGTAAAATATCAAGGTATAAGCATAACTAGAATGTTTTTTTTAGAATCAAGCTTCTTTTTTATCTTTTATTTAAAAAACTTTTAAGATATTTAGCATCTAAACTAGAAGAGTATTTTAAAAACAAGTAGTGGTTAAAAGATTTTTGTTAAAATAGTAGAAGTTTGAAAAATTAACTATACAACTATAAAACTTACAGAATAACTTTATATATTTTTGTTAACTCTTCATTTTTTTCAAAGAAAATTTATAAAATGTAAATGATTTAGTTTATATTCTCTAAAGATCAATATATTATTTATTTAACAAATCGATTAGAATTATTTACTTTTTATTTATTTTTTATTTTTTTTTAATTTTAAAAGGTGAGGCCATGCCTCTAACTTTATTGAAATTCAATTAAGTTTCTTTACAAGAAATACATACAAGAAAGAAATTACATTTGAACCTCATATCCAGAGGATATTTAAGACTAAAGACTCAGACACAATGTTACTTTACTTTTTATTTATTACAACAAATATATATAGTAGATTCATATGGAATATGTGTATATGAATTACATATCTTGGAAGTGGCAATTCAAACAAACAGTATTTCGAAACTATTAATACAAATTTCTGAGTAATAGTTTTAAGTTTTTTTTATTTAAATATACTAATTATATAAATTTAAAGTAAAAACTAATTTAAATAATAATATATAATTTTTATAAAGCCTGACATAGGCTTAGAATTGGGATCTTTATTAGAAAAATTGCTCTTTAAAATTTTTTAATTAAATAAATTCAGAAAACTTCAAACCAATATTATCAGATGGGGTGTGGCGACTTAGTGAAGTGGTCAAGTTGTCACTCTCCCAAGTGGCACATCCAGAGTTCAATTTCTACTGACAATAAAAAAAATTAAATTCTTTTATGTATTGATGACTATTTCGGATGTTAGGATGGAGATCCTGTAACGACGGTCAGACCAAATAGATGCAAGGGGTAAAGATCGCCTAATAGACGGCTTATCTCGCAAATCCTAATTGGGGGTGGTAGTACAGACTTGGAAGATCTTGGAGCATTCGTGTAATAGAGGAGTTATATGAAGGGATACAAACTGATAAAAGGCGGTATAAACCCATGATAAGTCCCCAGGACCTGTATAAATCTGTTGGATTTTGTTTCGACTAGGAATCTACTTGGCAAGTCCCGAGTAGAAAGGTAGCACTACTTTCGACGGTTCTGAAAAGTCTAAGAAGAGAACCAATAAGCTGTGGATCTGGATGAGGACCGGGTGTTTGGCAAGCACTATACTAACCAGGCCACTGGAATCGACCAGAAGAAAAGGGCACAGGCTGGTATCTGAGTTAAGCCAGTAGAAAAGCGGGTAACGTAACTTGTGAACCAAACTGGGCTATCTGAATTGGAAGTTTGGTGAAACAGTGGAAGAGTTCCCGATTGGACGAGTAAGGAGCTAGGGTAGAGTGAACTCTATAAGAGCAGAAGTAGATAACGGTAGTGGCTTCGGCTCGCAAGTACTTGTTCTCGGACTAGGCATAAGTTACCGAAGCCTAAGTCAGCCTAAATGTGGGTATGGAAGGCTCTAGCAGGTTTACCTCAAGGTTAAAGAACTCCCTAAAATAGTAGAGTCTGCTTTAAAGCCCTAAGCCAGCATATAAAAATAAAGTGATACTAAGTATCATCGCTTGGATATAAAAGGGTTTGTATATAGGTGCAGAGGATTTAAATAGGTAACCCCTCTAGTGGGGTGCAGATACGACATCTAGTATAGAACCTGATGATAGGCAGACTACTTAAATAGGTGCTCAAAAAGCACAGGTATGGCTAGTTGTACCCAACAAATATGTACAGCCATTAGGATATGTCTGATAGTTAAAAATATTATTAATATTCGAATAAAGAGCAGCATGGCAAAGAGGTCACCTTAAAATCAAAAAAAAACCCCCAATATTATCAGTATTTACTTATATATAAATATTTTTTTTTATTAGTTCAAATATTTATTTGATAAGTTATTTTTTTTTCAACTTTGGCAGTCTTGCTAGTAATTCTTTATTAAGATTGTCTTGTCACAGGCTATACAAGATACTTTAAGCTTAATATTTAGACCTGACATCCTGCAGTTACTTCTAAGAGCACTTACAAGCAACCTGCTATACTAGGCCAATAAATCTACAAGAGATATATTACGATAAATCAACAGAAAATCTGAAGACTATCTATCCTAAAAAACTATATCAGACCACTGCCTTATAATAGAATATTGCTAATCTGATAACATCTTCTTGTAGAAAAGTGAAAAAAAGAAAAAAAATACTAACACTAATACTAATACTAAAAAGAGAGAAAAGGAAAAAACAAAAGTAAAAAAATCTGATAATCACAATTATAAACCTGTATCAGGCTAACAAAAATTACATATTACAAGATAAAGAAGCTCTGTATTTAACTCTATCCTAATAATATATCTAATCTATACAAAAAAAACAAAAATAGCAGATTTAAACTAGACTAGACAGAGTAGTTAAAAGGCACCATTAGT